TGCGACGATGTGCACGTGACCGCTCCGACGTCGGCAGTCCTAATCTCCAACCAACAAATCAAGGCCGCCGGCGTCGTCCTCGAGAGCCCTTCACACCTAACCCTTAATCTCAAGCATGCTTTGTGAACTATGTGCTTCTTTTGTTGCCTATGTTGGTCATGGTACAACTATGTGGACTATGTGCTCATTTGGTGGACTATGTTTGTCGTGTGGACTGTGTCAACTTTGTGGACTTTGTGAACTAAGTTCATCGTGTATGAACTATGTGAACTTGATGTTATATGCTATGTTGGTCATGTATTATTTGTCAACTTGTGACCCATGTTGGGCATCTATGAACTGTTATATGGTATGTATCATGTGTCAATTGTATTTCTGTGTTAAGAAGTGTGGAAGAAAACAAAAAAATTGTTTGCAGGCCTGTTGCACCAGACATGCTGGTGCGACAGCCATGACGGAGCACTGTGCAAATGATTGTCGCGCCAGGCTAGGCGGCGTAACAAACCTATCCCGCCGGAGTCGGTGGCGCGACAAGGTTGTCGTGCTAGGCGTAGTGGCGCGACGAGGAGGCACCCCCAGGCAAAACCAAACAGGTAACGGGGGCTCACTAGCACGATAGTGTCGCACTAGCTGTGGTGGCGTGACAACATCACGCCACTAAGAGTGGTGTGGCAGTGTCGTACCAGTGAGCCCTCGGCACCAGAGTGGTTTGGCCTAGCCGACGTCTCCTCGTCGTGCCAACGCGCTTGGCGCGACAGCCTTGTCATGCCACCGACTCCGGTGCGATAGGCTTGTCATGCCACTTAGCCTAGCGCGATAGTCCTGGAAAATAACATGCACTGCTAGCCTGCTGCACTCTCTCGTCTCGTGCATCCACATAGGTCACAAGCCACACACATGTACACACTCTCTCTCCTTTCAAAATCTTTGAGGTAGTATTAAACTTTTTGTTTGCAAAGAGATAGAGATAAGTAGAGTGCATCAAGCGTACCGTAGGAGTAGTGCATAGCCAGCAGCAGCAGCAGCCAACAAACACTGTGGTGCGCGCTCTCTCTCTCTACGTCATTAAAAGTGAATTTTGTTCATATAGCATTACACACCATAAGGAGTCAGACCATAACAAGTTCGAAACATTACACACGATAAGGAGTTCGAACCATTGTTCGTACAACTCAAGGTCATCATCATCATCACTTACATAAGTGTTCCATCTAGCATATACAACCACTACTACTAACACTAGTCTTCCATCTACCATGAACAAGTACTACCAAATGGCAACCCATGGCCATTTGCAAAATATGTACGGATCTTGTTGCCTTTGCATAAAAGAAGCAGTGCTATCGTACCAGTCCTCCATCTACCATATACAAGACCTATGTATTGCCAAACCTATTGGCATTTGCAAAATATGTATTGCACCTTGTCGTCATTAGTTGAGAGGAAACACTACTCATCGTCCTCATCATCGTGTTGTCATCGTCATCGTCCTCCTCCATGGGTGCGGGGATATGGCCGTCGTTCGGTGCATCATTGGGGACTACAAGAAGGAAATAATGTCTCATTGCCAACAATTGGAAGAAGATGCACAAGTTGAAACAAATTTTGAAATCAATTACTCACATAAGCGATGAATATGCCTGTGGAAAAAGGCCATCTCCCTCGCATCCTCGGCCTCCTTAAAGTCATAGGCCTCCTTGTTTTGTCACCAAAAGCTCATCAACTCGGCCTCATTATTGTAATAATTCAGCTCTCGACCGGTCACTCGAGGAAAGTCCTCTAAAATCCTGTTACGGGACTTCCATGATGGCATCTTTACCTCGTACCTCGTCCTCACCTCTATCTGCTTCTCCTCCCTCATCCAACGCTTCCTATCTTTTTTGAGAGATGAATGTATCTTTAGCCTCTCTAGTAACTCTCCATGACCAGGGAAGTCCTCCCAATCGTATGTCCTCCCCACCTAAGCAAACACAAAGCAATGAGCAAACAAACCGGCGGCCTATGTTAATGTAGTAACTTCAACGGTTCAGTCAACTCACCCATAACTCAGACGACCCTCCATATGCATTGCCACAGTAGTATCCGTATCCTAGCTCAGACGGAACAACTCCTTCGCGAGCCTTGATGCCACACTTGCACTTACACTCCGGCATCTTTATGCATGGCCATGGCTTAATGCCGCTTCAAACTCCACAAATTCATAGTCAGAAGGCCAGTGCAATTTAGGTCCATAGTTGTACTCCTCAAAGTCACAAGATGGGAACCCTCTATGCAAAAAACAAATGTTCCAAGTGTAACATTGTATGTGCAAAACACATACAAGCTTAGAGATAGATTGCTTTCATGACAACGTACATAATCTGGCAATCCATAGCGATAGAAGGCAGTGAATGCTCCACGTTGGCTGGGAGTAGTTAGTAGCGCCGACACTCCATAGTTGCATTTAGGAGGATTGACTAGACAGCGCAAAGCAGCGGCAACCTTCTCTGCCTCTGTCATTTCCGGAGGGTTCGGTGGCGGCAGAACCCAATGAACAAATTCCGAATATGGAACGCTCTTCCAGAGGTCATAAGGAAACAACATAATCGACGGATCGAACATTTCATCACCGTCGATCCACTGATAGAAGCTACATCCCTCTAGGTAGGCATCAAGTGTCGGGGGACGACGCTTAAGTTGGCAACAGTAGAAAGCATGCCAGCTGATGCGGGATGCCTTGACTGCTTCACAAATGCTGGTAAACCATAGTAACACAACGGTGTTGGCTCTGCTAGTAAGAAATGACCGATAGTACCATGATCCTTTGGATGGTACACGAATTGGTTGTTATTTGAAACCGCCATTGAACCTATTACAAAGTAGTCGAACAAAGCAAAGTTATCAAAACATGATATGAAACCCTAGACACAACCTCATGGACTTCAAACCATCTCTGTATATACACAGTCCAACCCATCCATACATCTAATCAGTACAAATTAACTTCAAATCACAAACTTAGAGGTAACTTTATTTAGCACAGGACAAGCTAGACACTGTCCAAATATTGCATTCAAACCCTAGAACAGTGCCAACCACTACCAACCGTCTAACATCTAACAATGGAATCCTAATAATACACGTGATTAGGGCAACAAAGTATCAACTAACAAAGCAAAAGCCACTATTGCACACAACAGTCAAAACCATAGCAGTCTAGAACCGTCAACCACACAAAAAAACAAAAGAGGATGAGAGAGGCATACCTCATGCACTAGACCAAAGGAACAAAAAATCCAAAACCAAACTTGATCAAAGAGAGGTAGACAATGAGAAGAAAAAGAAGAGAGAGAAAGAGGAGACACCGAGGTTCACGCCCTTCTCACATGACTGAGGGAGTGAGGGAAAGAGAGGAGAAAGCATATGGGCCACGCGACCTTATAACATCCTATCGTGCCGGAGTCGCTAGCGCGATAGGGCGGGCCCCACGCACCGCCACGCCAGTTCCGGTCAAACGTGCACGCCACCGTGGCTCCCCTTGTCGCGCCGGTGCATGTGGCGCGACAGCGTGGTGCAGTCGCGCTGGCCGTGCTGGCGCAACCAAAAGGGCTACCTTGTGCAATTTCTTTTTAGAAGCGGTTATTATTAAAATATTAATTAAAAAAGGATTAAAAATTAAAAAAATCCTAAAGCTTGACCTCCCTACTTCCCTAGCCTGACCGTCATCTTCATTTGCACGCGGCCAACGGCGGCCTGCCAACTGGCTGCTCTGCCCGTGGATTGACCTCCTTTGTTTGGCCGTCATGCCACTTCCAAGCCACCTTCTAACGCCACAGGGCACAGCCACTCCTGAACAAGGTGAGCATCATTGGCACGAGGAGAGCATCGTTTTCTTGCGCATGTAATTAGGAGATGTAGGGGAAAAAAATCTGTCTCGGTGACATTACGTTGTTTTGACCCATCCTGTTAACTGAATTTTTTCATGTACTTACATTGTCTCGTAGCTATATTTACACTGTCTTATTACTATATTTACAATGATTTTTGCAGTGTAATTTATTGGATAGAGTGGTGTGATTTGAGGATAATATATGCCAAATTTTTCAGAAAAAATACAAATTATTTCTATGGATTGCAGATATCAGAGAAATATATGTTAAATTGTTTACAAATTTTAGAACAAATTACAAATTGTTCGCATATTGCGATGGGACCCACCCTTGCCAACATTCCTTTCCTGTCCTTCCCTTCCCTTCCGTGAAATTGCGGTGCAGATCTGGTACTGCGGGCTCGAGCGCACAACCGCGGCGTCCCTATCTGGCTGCCGACTCGGTGCGCCGCCGCTTCGGTGCCCCGACGCGCGGGCCGGGAACAATGCGTTCGACGAGCTCATCCAACTGCAGTACACGGGCTCCATCGTGGAGTACTGGGACGAGTTCCTGAGGCTGCTGGACAGATGCGATGGCGTGACCCAGCCGCAACAGGTTGCCTTCTTCACCACCGGCCCAGTACGCACGTCGTCGTCGTCAAGCAGCTCAGCGCCGAACCGTGCCCAAATCGGACGGCCCAGAAATCGGTTGTCCACAGCTGGAAAAACAACCAGTTGATGTTTAGCATATCTCAAAAAAAAGTGTGAAAGTGAGGCCGTGTTTGGTGCGGCTCTCGGTGCTCCAGCTCCTGCTCCCAATACACTGTGCAACAATGTACTGTAGCAGGAAAAAAAATGGCTCCAACTCCTCAAAAATGAACTAAAAAGAAGATGAGCTAGAGGAGCAACACATTCGGAGCTTCTTCCCGCCTCCGCCAAAGTAGTGCTACAGTGCCGGAGCTCGAGGAGAAGCCGCTCCAAACGGCTCTGAACCTTGTTCAGTAGTGAAAGTGAAAAGAAACAGCTCCGATGTGGAAAAAACACATCAAACTCATGTACCTTGTTCATGTACTTTTAAAAAATGTGAAAGTGAAAAAAACATCAGACTACATCGTGCTGTCACTTGGTATATCTCCGACGTCTTCGAAGCTATTCATTCGCACCAACAAGTTTCAGGCCCCCCCCAGGGGAAGTCGGGGCAGCGCTGGACGTGTGGCACAATCTTACTGGCATCCAGCCATTGGTCCTGCCAGAGGTTGTAGTTCGGCGGCTGGAAAAAGCACGGCTCCATTGACACGTCCCGGCGGCACGGCGGATCCGGCACCACTGTGCCGTTGGCTGGCTTGTACATCACCCACGGCCTCAGGCCACCGAGCCCCTGGGCGACGTACCCGAACGTGGACTGGCTGGTGGTCACCAGCACGTCGGTCAGGCTCAGCAGGTAGATCTCGGCCCACGCCTTGGTGTCGTGCGACTTGACGCCGAAGCGCTGGTACTCCTCGTGGCTCGGCTGGTGCACGCTCACCACCTCCCCCGTGGCCGTCGCGTGCTCCCAGTACATGCTCCTGATCTTCTCCTGGCACCAGGGCTTCAGGGACGTGACGAGAACGGCTTTAGACTTCTTCTTGGCACGCGACGCTGGCAACGTCGTCGGCTCTCCCGCGGCGAGCACTTCCGGGAGCAGCTTGTGCTTCTGCGTGCACGAGGTGATCTGCTCCAGGATCTCGGGCGAATTCGGCTGGCCACCGAAGACGCGCACCTGGATGCCGACGCGCTGCGTGGCGCCCGCGAGGTAGGCGTCATAGTAGCGCGTGACGAGGCCCCAGACGTGGTTGTTGGGGTGGAACAGGTACCTGCCGAGGTGGTGGAGCACGGCGTCGCACTCCGGGAACATCTTGCCGAGCTCCCCTCGGAACGCTTTCGTAAGAAACAGCCCTGGCACGATGTAGTTGTCCGTGCTCATCACCAGCCACTGGACGTGCCGGAGCAGCCTCTGGTCTTCGTCCCAGAAGAAGTTCCTGTCGTGGATGCCGGCGTCGCTGTGGAGGTAGACGTACGCGAACGCGGGCAGCTGCGCATCGGTGGTGGCGGCGTCTGCGCCGCCGCCGATCACCTTGTTCTTCAGCACGTTCCCGTAGGTCTCGGCGGTGTCGATGCTGAAGTTGGCGTAGCTTGCCAGCGGGAAGCCCTCCGGCGGCAGCAGCCACGTGGCTCCGAGGAACAGCTCGCAGAACAGGTTGTCCATGTCGTTGCTGGGGTCGACGAGGACGACGCGGTCCGTGAGCAGCGCGTACAGGAAAGCCGACGCTGCAGCGAGGATCCTGTTTCCGAGGCCTTCGATGGGCACGGAGACTATGTACCTGCACTCCGGCGACGCGACGCTCTTGCCGGATTTCAGCTGCGCAAGGGCGTTGCTGTAGGCGGCGGTGCCCGGGCGGCACCGCATTTGCAGGGACTCGTGCCGCCGCAGCTTGGAGATGAGGTACGTCGAGGGTTGCCTGCCGGGGTTTCGACGGTACGTGGCGGATTGGTACCGGCTGTGGCAGGATTCTTCGTTGAAGCCGTCAACCAGTAGGCCGCCGAGAAGCCTATCGTGGCGCCGCGCTGACGACCTCGGCTGCATGGCGAGATCATTCGAACCTGCAAACAAGTGATCTCAGAAACAAACAGGACTAAGGATAAAGGCCAGACAACTCAGTTTACATACGTGCGAACGCATCGAATTAATAGAACTTCTTGACCTTTGCGTAAGCCGGCCACGGCAGTCTGAATCCAAATCCCCGGTGCTCCAAAATTGCTCCCACTGAGGATGATGACGAGGAGAGGCACGGTCATCACGACGGCAGCGAGCACGGCACTGACCGCCCAGCTCCGCCGTTTGACGTTAACGTCGACCAGCAGCTTCGCCATCTCCGCTTTTCGACGGACACTGGAGCCTCTTCAAACTACTGCAAGTACGTGCTCTGCTGTTCCCTTCGGACACCGTGCTACGCCATACCAAAATGCTTCTTGGCTGCCGGATTGGCCACGAATGTTGTGTACGTAGTATATTATTGCGAAGCAGATCAACCACAAGTCTGCAATAGCAATCTGCATGATGCAGCAACCTCGAATCTCAAGGACTAGTATACTCTCATTTTACGTTTGGAGTCCTATATATGACAGTTTAATATGGACTTTGAGAATGCTGCTACACTTCAACATGGAGTTTATGCAAAAGCTACATGTGAAATGTCTTCGTTACCACTAACTCTGAAAAAAAAAAATTGAACTCCTAGTAACAAGTCGCGATTTTTTTAAAAGTGTTTTATGCGAACACAAGGTTGATATGTGCCCTTGTAGTTCATTTTTGTGATGAGTGATTATCAACGTGATCCATGACCTAGGTTGAGTTTGTGAGCTAACCATGGCGTGAGTTGGGTTGTGCGACATGTGTCTTGGTTTGTGGTGTGCAGGTGTGGAGCTCTGAGGCGGTGGTCGACAGCGAGGTGAAGGTCAAGTAGGGACGTACCGTGCCGATGGACCGGGAGTGGTGAAGGAAGAACGTGAGGCTTGGACCGAGGGACCAGGAGGCGGGTGACCAGGCCAGCATGTGGGTGACATCTAGGACATCGACAAAGCGCAAGTGTACATGGGGTGACCGTGTTGACCGAGTCAAGACGGGCGGACGTGTGAGTTGAGCGGGGCTCAGGAGGACTTGGCGGACGACCGGTCGAGGATGGCGGTGACACGTGTCGAGCGACGGGGGATGCGTATAGAGTACAGTACTCGCGGGCGGTTTGGTGGTTTGGGCCTCAAAACCATCGGTGGCCAGTTTCACTGGTTTGGGCCTCAAAACCCGGGTGGAGGTTCCGAGGAGGAATGGACGGCACATGGCGGCATCGAGGAGTTTGCGTCGAGGCGAAGCTATCTCATGAAGGACGCGGTGGCCGTCGGATGAAGATTATCTCGGGTTGGACCATAGTGCCCTCAGTTAAGTGGTTCGACTCAAAAATATATAAGGGCAAAACTGGGATTGTGTAATAGCCCTGTTAAATAGGATGAGTGAGCTCCCATCTCCCTCACATCTTTCATTTTGCTTCATCCTTCTCTAGGTTTTCCCCTCCCCTTAGGTTTTCTTGTGAGAGAGGTCCACAAATTGAATAATTTGTGTAAGAACCAAAGATTGCAGCGGGAATGGAGGCCCTAACCTCCTCGTGTCCTCCGGGATTCGATTTGTGAGTGGTTCTTGTGAATCGCGTTTGTGTTCTTCGCGTTCTTCCTTTCTCCCTTCTCTTGTGTGGTTCGATTCGTCGTTTTGAGACCGTTTTGATTCGTTCCTTTTACACTGAGATGAACTAGGATGTGAGTTAAGCCTTTCCACCAAGGGGGGTTATCTAATTCCTTACGAGTTCGAGTTCATAGATCGGTGCGAATCAAGCTCTAGGGTTGGAAAACCGTTGTTTTTCGTGTTCATCCAATTTTCCGTTGATTGGCTTCAAATTGGGCGATGATCTCCTAGAGGTAGCTCACCTATTGCCTTGTGACCATGTGGTTAAAATTTGGTGGCAATTGGTTTTGATTTGGTCGCAAATCGGGATTTTCCTTGCTCCGGGCGTTTTTCGGGTGACTCTGTTCGTGCTGATTTCGCGACTCGCGGACAGTCTGCCCCTGACCCCCGGACAGTCCGTTGTTACTGTTCACATCGCGAGCAGAAGGTCTTCTTTTGGTCGTGTTTTGCTGCTTTGAACGCCGGACAGTACGGGCCTACCCGCGGACAGTCTGAGGCGGCTGCTGAAGCGTGTCCAGAACTATTTCAGCAAGTTCGTTTTCTGGTGTTTGACTTGCGGACAGCCTGGGATTCAACCGCGGACAGTCCACCGTTCTTCTTTCTGCCCAGGTCAGAACTGTTTCTCATCGTTCAGTTTTCGGGAGTTGAACGCCAGACAGTCCGGCCCTCAACTCCGGACAGTCCAGGACCTGACCCGCGGACAATCTGGGCTCCCTACGGCAGACAGTCTGGGCCTATGCAGATTGTGTTGTTTTCTCTCGTTCTTTCGAGCACTTGTTTCTATCTGTTCTTGGTTGATCCGTTGTATCTGTTGGTCATCGCTAAAGGTAATCAGCCACCTGTTGGCTTGTGATCATCCGTTCTCTAGTGCCTTTACTCTTGGATCGTGATTTTAGGACAGCGGCTTAAAGTTTCGAAAGAAATTTAAGGCTCCCATTCATCCCCTCTGGTCGCCGTTTTCGGTCCTTTCTTTTGGTCGGTAGCTTTGTCTCCTTAGCGTTGGGATGCACTACAAATCAACGGTAGATTGTTAGTACTTGGATTCTGTCATCAGACCTTTAATTGCAGTGCATAATGGTCAATGGACGTTACTATGGCCCCGTTCGCTTGTCTTAAAAATGGCTTGTTCGGCTTCTTTTTTTAGCCGGAATAGTATTTTTCTCTCACAACAATTCAGGCAGAACAGTGTTTTTCAGCCAGTTTCAGCCAAGTTTCAGACCAGCGAACGGGGAGGCCTATATAAGTTTTGGCTCCTCTAATTTGACTCGGAGGCCTTAGATCCAATTTCAGCTAGGGATTAGGGATCATGGTCTATGGACTTATAGTACTTAGGTGAAACAAACAACCAGTTCCTTTTGTTTTTAATTTCGCAACCTAGCTTGACATTTTTTTAACAACAGATTTAATCTTTCACGGGTTGATCATCACAATCTTGCTAAGATCAAAGACCATGATCACACAAAGAGATATTATCCTTAAAAACAAGAAGCAACTTGGGAAAAATTGCTAAGCATTCTACCAAAGCAATCCTAGTTGACACTCAACAAGAGAACCTACATACAACAAGGTAAGAAAGAGGTAAACAAGAAGTAATGCAAGAACTAGAGAAAGGCGAAGAGACAACTGAATTTTTTTTTCCGTGGTATCGGGTTGTGTTGTCATAACACTCTAATCATGTTGCAGCAGTGAAGAGTCACCAAGACTCAGTTTAGCTTTCGTTCACTAGTGAATGCCCAATCTCTACCATGGAATGGTAGGCTTCAGGACCATGTGTTAGAGCCTCCTCAACAAGAACTCCACCGAGAAACTTCTCTAAGTCCTCCACTGGTCCGTCTAGGTATTGGCAATCATCAAGAGTAACAAGTCTTCAACTTCAACTTAAAGAAAAAACTCAACCAAAAACACACCGAAAACACTCTAGGGTAACTCTCAATCTTAACTTCTTTGCTTGGATGACCGTTTATACGCACCAGGGATAACACTTATATGGACGGTGAAGGGGCTACTAGCAATTGCAAAAAAATTAACTGGTATAGACACCACTGGATGATCCATCGACCACCACTAACCTGATATGTGTTAGAATAGGTTAAGGTGGAACTTAGTTTAAGTTCCATATTAGACCATGTTTGGATGTGTATTTATCCACTTAATCCATGTGTGCTAGAGTGGGTTTGAGGTGAAACTTAGTTTAAGTTCTATCCTAATCCACTCCAACACACATCGAGGGACAAAAGTTTCATTTCCTCCTATCCTACATCACAAATTAACGGTAAATCTTTATCGCACTCGGTGTGTTTGAGTTGCTTAGCGCGCTTGATCCGGTGGCCGTCGATCCTGCGCTGTGAATGGACGTGATGGTACCGGTGAAACGCACCAAGCGGTTGCGGGGCCCAGGGTGGCAAGGTGGTCGCGGTCGGGCGCCTTCCTGGGACCATGCACGGTCGGTGGAGACGCAAGTGCATGCTGTTGCGACCATGCGCTGCCGGTGGAGTGCATGCTGCGCGGCCGATGCAGAGCATGCTGCTTTGCAGCAGTTGCAGGGACCGGTGACGGTTACATCACCTAGTCCCTTGCCACCCATGTATGCAGATTCAATCGTTTAGTAGGAACAGTTGTAAATTATGTGTTCAATTGTGTAAATTGATTATTCGTAAATGAGTATGGTCAGAATTACTCGAACATCTTATTATTATTTAGCTTTTTTTATTTTATGTATGTTTTATTTGGTTCCCCTTTGAATTTTTTTAATTTAGCTTCTATAGAAATAATCCGGCTAAATTTTTCTTTTTGTTTGTTTAATATTTTTATACTATTTGGATAATTTTTTTGGTTCATTTGATCTGGATCCAATGGTCATGATAATCTGAGTGTTGTATGGATGAAAAACCCACTCAATTTTTTGTTTCTATTGTCATTCGGGTGTTTTAGGTGCCATCCACGATAGGGTGTCACGTGCCCCTAGAACACCCGAGTGCTGAGCAGACAATCCCCAAATTAAATGTTATGATTAGTTTATGAAACAAGAAATTTAAACTATGCATTACACGATCTTGTTTGGTTCATCCTCACAATTGACTCTACATGATATCACACATTTAGAAACAACAGGATAAAACTTACTATTCAGATTAGCCTTATATTGAGTCCCCTTGGGACATCCTATTTGTTCCGACCAACAAGTTTCAGCCCCCAGCTCAAGTCATCACAGTGCTGGATGTACGGCACATCCTTTGAGATGTCCGCCGCCCACTGCTTCAGCCGGCAATCATAGCTCGGTGGTTTGTGGAAGCACGGCTCCATGGACACGTCCCAGCCGCACGGCGGATCGGGCACGACAGAGCTGTTGGTAGACTTGTACAGCACCCACGGCCGCACGCCGCCGAGCCCCTGCGCCACGTAACCGAACGTCGACATGCCGGTGGTCACCAGCACATCAGTCAAGCTCAGTAGGTATATCTCGGCCCACGCCTTGTGCTCGTGCGACCTGGCCCCGGAGCGCTGGTACTCCTCGTGGCTCGGCTGGTGCACGCTCACCGCCTCGCCGGTGACCGCCGCGTGCTCCCAGTACATGCTCTTCAGTTTCTCGTAGTACCATGACTTGAGCGAGGTGACGAGAACGGCTTTGGACCTGGCACGGGACGCTGGCGACGTCGTCGGCGCTCCCGTGGCGAGCACCTCCGGGAGCAGCTTCTGCTTCTGCGTGCACGAGGTGATCTGCTCCAGCAGCTCCGGCGAGTTCGGCTGGACGCCGAAGACACGCACCTGGATGCCAACTCGCTGCTGCGCCGCCGCGAGGTAGGCGTCGTAGTAGCGCGTGACGAGGCCCCAGACGTGGTTGTTCGGGTGGAACAGGTACCGGCCGATGTGGTGGAACACAGCGTCGCGCTCCGGGAACATCAGGTCGAGCTCGTCCTGGAACGCCTGCACAAGAAACAGCCCCGGCACGATGTAGCTGTCCGTCCTCATCGCCAGCCACTGAATGCGCCGGAGCAGCCTCTGGTCGTCGTCGCAGAAGAAGTAGTTGTCCTCGACGGTGGCGTCGTTGTGGAGATGGACGTACGCGAACGCAGGCAGTCGCGCCGTCGAAGCATCGGCGGCGACGCCGCTGCTCCCGATCACCTTGTTCCTCACCATGTTCCCGTAGCTCTCGGCGGTGTCCACGCCGAAGCTGGTGTAGTTCGTCATCGGGAAGCCCCGCGGCAGCAGCCACGTCGTGTCGGGGAATGGCTCGCAGAAGAGGTCGTCCATCTCGTTGCTGGGGTCGACGAGGAGGACGCGGTGGGTTAGCACCGCGTACAGGAACGCCGACGCGGCGGCGAGGATCCGGTTCCCGAGGCCGCTGTAGGAAATGGAGACGATGTACGCGCACTCCGGTGACGCGTTCCTCTTGCCTGACTTGAGCTGCTCCAGGGCGTTGCTGTAGGCGGCGGTGCCTGGGCCGCACCGTCGTTGGAGAGCCTCGTGCCGTCGCAGCTTGGAGATGAGGTACGCGGAGGGTCGCCTCCCGGGGTTCCCGCGGTACATGGCGGATTGGTACCTGCTGTGGCAGGATTCCTCGTCGAAGCTGTCGATGAATAGGCCGTTGTGCAGCCTATCGTGGTGCGCGGCCGTCGGATGCAAGGAACCTGTCACAGGTCATGTCAAAAGCGGGAAATGGTGGGAAGCGCCTACATGCTGTTATATTACTATTTATTCACTAGGCCTTGTTTAGATTATGGTTAGAAATCAGTATTTGATACTGTAGCACTTTCATTTATATTTGATAATTATTGTCCAATTATGACCTAACTAGGCTCAAAAGATTCGTCTCGTAATTTATAATCAAACTGTATAATTAGTTATTTTTTTATCTATATTTAATACTCCATGCATGTGTCCAAAGATTTGATGTGATAGAGAGAGAGTGAAAAAACTTACAATCTAAACAAGGCCTAGTTACAGTTCGTAGAATAATATGGATGAAACTTCTCTTGGCAAAATATCAATAAGCTTCGCATGATTTGATTTCAAAACAATCTATGAACAGTGATACATTCATTCCAAATAACAATCAATATCAGACTGAACCACACGAGCAGTTTCTCTGTCCACATTAAACTTTTTTTTAGTGGACGTATCTCCGCTGCCACATCATGATCCTTCCGACCTCTAATTTTTTTTAGTGTAGTCTTTCTCTCTCCCTTCCTCCCTCCCACTCCTCTTCCCCACCACATCCCAGTTGTGTCTCCATTATCAAATCTGTTACCACTCGTGACTACGAGTATCTCACCCCTATTTCTTGACCACAAATCAAATATTATCTACTATTTATAACAATTGACTCTTCTCTATTAATCCATGCTCGGCCTACTCATATCGGTGGCTCTTAGAAAAATAACAATTGACTTTTTAGACTTTCAGCTGTCTATGTGTTACTATTGTCATTGAATTGCATTGCATCTCTTCGACGAACTTTCTAATTTTCAATCCAAAATGGCGATTCCATACCTCACCATCAGAAGTTCAAAATCACATCGACCAAGCATTGAAAGTTTCAGATGACTCGAGTATATGAAGGGCACTTGAAATACAAGAATACGTGGATGCCTAAAAGGCATAAGGAACTTTCTCCTATATGAACATAAAGCCCCAATAGAATTATGTTGCTAGTTCTAACATTGGCATTAGCATCTCTATGAAATGTTTGTTAATAAAATATCTGACTTATAGGTTGTCTTGGCTAGCTTACAAGTCTCTTATACTCCAATTCTCAAAAAAGTCTCATACTCCTTTCATGCTAAATGAGTACGTTGTTTTGGCTTTATAGTTTTTTCTATATATCTTATGTTCAGATACATAATAATCTATGCGAAGGCCGAAACAACAGATAATTTTAGAATTTTAGAGCTGATGAACTAGCTATTCTTCTCCTCGCCTTAATGAAAAAACGTGCTACACCATGGCGAAAAAAATCTAGTGCAAAGAAAAAACACAGATTGATAGATATACATACCTTGGCGGAAGCTGGCTACTGCAGTCCACACCCCCGGCGATCCAACGTTGCGCCCACCCAGGATGAGCATGGTGGTCACGACGACAGCGGTGAGCACGGCGCTAACCATCCAGCTCCGTCGCTTGGAATCCATCACCTCCTGCATCTTGCTCGCGTCGATAAACCGCGAGCAGAGCAGAGCCTCTCTTCACTCTGCAGGCGCCAGTGCCGCCGTCTGCGCCCGTCGCTTGGCACACATCACATATATGCTTTGCTTTCTGACCGCCGGTGTGATCAGCTATGTAAGTACGGTCGTATTGCAAATTGCAACGCAAGTCAACTGTAATACCCTCGCCTCTCTAAGGGCACCCGTAATGGTTAGAGCTAGTTAGCTGTAAGCCAATTTCTCCGATAGTACGAACTTTTAGCAGATAGTTTTTAACAAGAAACTCCTAATAACATTCTCACACAACTTTGAAATATGTGTAAGAGCTTAGCTCTTAATCAAGAACTCACTTTTCTCTCACCTCTATCAAAATATGAGAAAAATGTTTAGAGCTAGCTTAAAAGTCAATTGCTGGAGCTGCCATGACATGCTTGGAGTCCTTAATTAGACTGGCGCGCATGAATTTTGCAATGGCTGCAAAATATTTGAGGGCATCACGCATCCCTATGCTAGAGGTAAGTGTCTTTATTATTAACTCTAGTAATGTTCAAAGTAAACGCTCCGCAGTATTAACTGGGTCTTTTTCTTGGTGTTGAGGTTCGTGCCTTTCGGGGCTCGATCGCGCGTTGACGTTGCGCGGCAAGTTGGGCTGTGAAATAAATGGAACGTAGAGAAATGTAGTTTACACAACTTGTTCAATTTATCATTTGACTACTACCTCCGTTCAAAAAAAAATTTAGCATCCTAGATTTAGATTAAGTTGATTTTTGTAAGTTTAATTAGATATATAGATAATATTATTAATATTTGTGTCTCTAAGTAAATTTATTATGAAAATAATTTCATGATTCAACTAATAATAATACTTGTTAATATATTTATCAAATTTAAGATTTCTTATCATTTGACTACTATCAACAAATAGTACCAATTATTTTAATAAACAAGCTAAGAATGACGTTCTAATTTATAAAGTTTGTCACCGAAGCTCGATGAGGATTGATGCTATCTGCTTTCAATTCGCTTGAACGGATTCTAAAGTTGTTGTTTTTTACTTGAAAATAATCTTCAAAATACTTTTGTTTGATTGATTGATAGGCTCTGTTCGGCTGTCATTATAAGTCGTTTTATCAGCCATGGTACAGTATTTTTTCCTCCCAACGAATCAGCCGTACAAATCAGCACAAGCGGCTTATAGATCAACCGAACAGAGCCTATAATTGTTCTCTTTTCGTGTTCGGTGTGCCCTTCACTGCATCCATCACCATGAACTTCATAGAACCATCATCAACTAATTCCTTGGCTTAGCTTAACACCTTCTTCTTCTTCTTCTTCTTCTTCTTCTTCTTCTTCTTGTGTCTTCAGGTGTTAGACGCATGTGATGGCAGCAATCTGTGCTTTCCAATGATAAATCTTCTATCTTTGCCCTGAAGCCACCAATGTACATTTTCTACTACCAGGTACACAACCTGCTGCGATGAACAATCTTCAAACCCCAGCTCATATCGATGCAGTGCTGGACCTGAGGCACAATCTTTCCGGTGTCCGCCCCCCGCTTCAGCCTGCAGTCATACAGCGGCGGCGCGTGGAAGCACGGCTCCATGGACACGTCCCCTCCGCACGGCGGATCCGGCACATGGGTGTCGTTGTCCGGCCTGTACATCACCCAAGGCCTCACGCCGCCGAGCCCCTGCGCGACGTACCCGAACGTCGACCACACCGTGGTCACCAGCGCGTCCGTCAGGCTCAGCAGGTATATCTCGGCCCACGCCTTGGCGTCGTGCGACTTGGCGCCGAAGCGCTGGAACTCCTCGTGGCTCGGCTGGTGCACGCTCACCGCCTCGCCGTCGCCGCCGGTGGCTGCCGCGTGCTCCCAGTACATGCCCTTGAGCTTCTCGTAGTACCAGGACTTCAAAGAGGTGACGAGGACGGCTTTAGTTTTCCGGGTAGGTTCCGGCACCAGGGGCTCTGCCTCTGCCGCGGTGAGCAGTTCCGGGAGCAGCTTCTCCTTCTGCGTGCACTTGGTGATCTGCTCAAGGAGCTCCGGCGAGTTGGGCTGGGTGCCGAAGACGCGCACCTGGATGCCCACCCGCTGCTGCGCCGTCGCGAGGTAGGCGTCGTAGTAGCGCGTGACGAGGCCCCAGACGTGGTTGTTCGGGTGGAACAGGTACCGGCCGACGTGGTGGAACACCGTGTCCGGCTCCGGGAACAGCCTGCCGAGCTCCTCCTGGAACCCCATGACCAGGAACAGCCCCGGCACGATGTAGCAGTCCGTCCTCATCACCAGCCACGGGATGTTCCGGAGCACCCTCTGGTCGTCGTCGCAGAAGAAGAACCTGTCCTGCTCGGTGGCGTCGTGGTCGAGGTGGACGTACGAGAACACCAGCAGCTGCTGCGCCGCCGCCGGCGTCCCGGCGACGCCGTCGGTCCTGAGAACCTTGTTCCGCAGCATGTTCCCGTAGCTCTCGGCCGTGCTGATGCTGAAGTTGGTGTAGCTCGCCAGCGGGAAGCCCGCCGACGGCAGGAGCCACGTCGTGCCCGGGAAGGGCTCGCAGAACAGCTTGCCCATCTCGTTGCTGGGGTCGACGAGGAGCACGCGCTCGGTGAGCAGCGCGTACAGGAACGCCGACGCGGCGGCGAGGATCCGGTTCCCGAGGCCCCGGTACGAGATGGAGGCCAGGTACTTGCACTCGGGCGAGGCGATGATGTCGCCGCCGCCGCTCCTGCCCGACCTGAGCTGCTCCAGCGCGTCGCTGTAGGAGACGGTGCCCGGCCCGCACCGCCTCTGCAGGGCTTCCTGCTGCCGGAGCTTGGAGACGAGGTACGCCGAAGGCTGCTTGCCAGGCCTGCGACGGTACATGGCGGACTGGTACCTGCTATGGCAGGATCTCTCGTCGAATCCGTCTGCCAAGAGGCCGCCGAGGAGCTTGTCGTATGATCTATCACCTGAAATTGACACAACAAAAGAAAATCGTCAGATGCATGATTCAGTAGTGAACCCCATCCACTGCAGTTGCATTGCAACTCACGACAAAGTTTGCAGCGACATGGAGTACGTACCAGCCAGTTCGGTTGGCTGGTGTATCTCGTATATGATCGTAAAATTTTAGTTGGAATAGTATTTTTTTCTCACACAAAATCAGCCAGCAGTAATAATCCACGATCCTCCAGCCCAGCCGAACAGGCCTACAGCATTGGTCAGAAAACCATCAGTTATTAAAATAATTGTTCAAATTTTTGAGAAACAAATAATAATTTTCAAATAGGCAGTACAATTCATGTTAGCCTAGCTCAAGCTCAACACACAAAATTGGCCCATTAACAGCCCAACTTGATCCACCTCATCCTCGATTGTCCGATGAAGTTAGTTTGCACTGTTGTCTAGTCAAAAATATTTAGCACATGTGGCTTTGTTTCCCTGTAAGAATTGGCTAACCGGACTAGGTTGGTTAACAAATCAAAAAGTGAGATGCAGTAGAAAAGGGCCTGAGTTAGCAGCAGTGTATAAAAAAGGGTATTCTCTAGTTACCATATGAATATCACTGTAACAATATCCACACACTCTAGATTCAGAGTATATCTCCTCTGCATATGTCAGAAGTAAATGTCGGAGAAGGAATAATAGTGATTTGATTAGACAGCAGATGTTTATAAAACAAAACTTTAAATGTTTCTAGTACTGATTTTTTTTATCTGTCTTTCAATTTATTACATCGACAAATGGTTCAGCTCAAAATCATCAAACAAGGTAATAACACTATTGTAATGGGTGGTACTAAGTCTAGCTCCTGCTCCTAGCATATTAGCTCAAAGTGACTGCTGTATCTCCTAGGATATTAGCTCAAAGTCCTTCATGCATCTCTATCAGTCTATTGTACATATGCTTAGTGATACAACAATGTTCTCTCTTTAATGCGTGTCAAAGCACTTTTTGCACTGTACTTGCACTTAACTCGTACTAGGTGACGATCTGAAATCGAGCTTGGCAGCTTGCAGACATATTTTTAACTGGCGCGTTTAGTGTTTGACCATCTTCGTTATTACCACACACATGCCAACGTTGGGAGCTGAGCGGCAAAACCGCAAAACGATCAAATACCGTTGCACGCACGTTTGGGCTTTGATTGTACTACATCGATGCTCGGCTTATTGACTGGAATAAACATATGCAGGATCACGCTTTTGTTGGGAAAACAAAACAGAACTCACCACCTCGTGTTTCTTAGGCCCAGCAATTCAGAGTCCGACGACGTCAGCGGCCGTCGATCGCCGGAGAGGAGGAGCAACAGAAGCAAGGGAACGGAGAGCAGCAACACAACCCCGACAACGACGGGTCGTCCCTCGCGCTTCGCCATGTCTGCGAAATGTCGCCCAATCGGCAATCAGTCCCGCCGGCGCGAGCAAGGCTGATGAGCAGCAACGAATTCACAGGGAAAGGTTTCGGTACAGGTCAACTGCGTTGTAGGAAGCTCTGCTTGATGTGCCTTCGTGCTCAGCACTACAGTACGTCTGCTCTCGGAGAATCGTCGTAGGTGCATGCAGCGACGTGCGAAGAATAATGCACTCCACATTTTTTTGGAACATGTTAGCGTTACATACATAGAGCGATGGGTCATTAAGATTTGGCACATATGAATAGCCATCGAAGGCCAGCAACAGTGTAGCACAAATCATTGTGCGACCCGTGCGTTTGGATACGTGCATGTCCAATTATGGATGCACGCGGGCCGCCGCATCTCCGCCCTAGATTTCTTTTAACTATACCTGTAGAGCCTGCTAATGCCTGCACTAGTTCCTGCAACGTCCTGTTGGCCTTTGCGGCAAAAAAAAAAAAAAAGCAGCAGGTTGCAGACATCTACAGAATACAACTTATTGTTCCTTTTGGCTAATTCATTAGTTATTCCAACCATTTAGACTTCTCCGTACAACTCAAACATGAACATACGTCAATAGTCATTCACGTGATCATTTCAGATATTCACCACAATCAACCACAAAGA